TGGAATGTGGGATGTTTTTGTTCATGAAGAATAACTTACAGGATGTAAGAAATAACTCCTATGGACCAACAATCCACTGCTTTACTGTAAGGCTTCTGAGCAAGCACCTCAGGAGCTGCAAAAAACAAACATCACACATTTAAAGAGCAGGAAATATACGGTGTTAGTAAAGTCGAGTAGACTTGACCTTCAAGTGCTTTATGATCTGACAGGTCACACTAAACAGGAAAAGTGCACTTGTGAAATACTTGCACTTAACTCAGTAGTGGCTGAAAGAGCCTCTCAGAGTTCGGTGAATGAAGAGGAGACACCAGCTGCTGCTCGTATAAAAAGACAAAAGAGATGAGGAGAACTGTTTCTTACCCACGTAACCAGGAGTACCACAGGCTGTAGACATGACGCTGCCCGCTCCTTCGATCTTTGACAGACCAAAGTCACTGATCATGATCTTGGAGTCTTCGTCCATGCTGTAATACAGCAAATTCTCAGGCTGCAAAGATCAAACATGGAAGAAAAGCAAATTCAGGTCAGGGTGAACTACATTTCTTTTTCGGTGTTTCGAGAACTATAATACCTTCAAGTCTCTGTGGACAATCCCCATGTCGTGGAGGTATTTGACAGCATCTAAGATCTGATGGATGAGCTGGCTGGCATCTCTCTCAGTGTAGAAACCTTTCTCCACGATCCTGTCGAACAGCTCGCCACCAGAAACTCTGTCAGAGCAAAATAATTCAAGCACCTTATAGTCCTTTCAAAACAGCATTAACAGCATTTCCTGTTAAAATAAAACATACACACTGAATTGATTTATCGATAAAATGGTATTTTAATGAGCCATAGCTGAATACTTGAAGTTCAAGTTCAAATACTTTTATTTCATCTACATTGATTTGTCAGCTCCTCTGGTAGTTTAGTTAAAATATGAAACAGAGAGTTTTAAAAAATCCACTTAGAGCAGTGAGATCAAGACCCCACTGTGGGTTACGAAACTCGTATGGGTCTTGAGATAAATTCTAGTAATTAAAGATCATCGTTTGGGGCCTTCACTATAGCACCCCAAGGTTGTGAAACAATATTCCACATGTGACCCTTCTGTTGAAGCTTTAAAAACACAGCTTAAGGCCCACTTATTTCTCTTGGCTTTTAATTGCAACAAATGGTTTGGCTTATAAGTAATTTTGCTTTTTAACTTGCTTTAACGTGCAGATTTATTGTCTCATTTGTATCTTAGCTAATTTCAGCTGTTTTCAGTAACTAACTATGCTAATTTGAGCTTGTTATGCTCCTTTCTGCTTATTTCCACCAGTTTTAGCAGTTTCTGCTATTTCAGCCTCAATTTATCTGTTTTGTGCTCATTTTAGCCATTTCAGCTAATCCCATTTGTTTGGATCATTTCAGCTTTTTCTGTTTCCTTCTGGTAGTTTCAAGTTCTTTCTGACTTTTCAGCTACTTTTTCAGCTATTTTTTTTTTGTTGAAAATTTCAGCCTTTTTTAGCTAGTGTCTTACCTTTTTTTTTTACTAATTGCTGCCAATTTTAACCTAATTCAGCAAATGTGTGTTATTTCTGTTTTCTTCTACTGATTTAGGTTTGTTCTTCCATTTCAGCAAATCTGTAGCAAATTTCCGCCATTTTTCTGCAAATTCTTTTGCAAAGACGTCTACAATGCAGTAATTTGACATATATATATATAATTGGATTTATGATATTAGGATTTCTGCTCTCTGGCAGATTCCTGTGTTATCGGCTATTAAGGAAGACAGATGGCGGCAGCAGTTTCAGCAGTGGCAAAACTGCCAAGTCTGTGCGAAGGTTTGGTTCGTGCTTCGAGTACTCAAAATCAGCCGATTTATGAGATAAACCGTTAGATGGAAGCGATTTGTGAGAATCACAGGACACCTGCAGCTTCTGGGACTCGCCAGCATGTTGGAGACGACCTTGGAGGAGCCTCGTGGGCACAGACCAGTGGAATGCCCACTAATCTGGCCATTTTGGATCTTGAAAGTACAAGCAGGACTCAAGGCTGACAAAAAGAAACTGTCTGCCTGAAAAAAAAAATCAACAATTGTGGCTTATCTGAATCTGACTCCCCCGGTTGGCCTTAAAAACAGGCCGACATCAAATTTCTCCTGGGCTATGTGTAAACTAAGGAAAAACGTCATCTATCACCACCACCCACTGAAGGCTTATCAGAACTGTGCCAGCTGACATGGTCTATCTGGAAGTGCTTCATGGACAAATCTCACCGTATTTCCATCAAATGCATATGTAACATGTTTATAAATGTGCTTGCTGGCAGAGTTTTTTTGATGTCTTAAATCTTGTCCTGATGGAACAAGGTATAAAGAGATCTTTTTTGTAATACCACTATCCTCTCCTCATTCATTCAACCTTCATTTCTACAGGTTAACCCCATTGAGCCTCGAGGACTCATTTACAAGAGAGACCTGATTTCTTAACAAAGAATGATGACAACAGTGAATAACAACGACAACAATAGACAGTCATAAAATAGGCATAGGCATAAACATTTAAGATACTCTCCTTTTTTTTTTACAAATCAAAACAATCAAAACAAAATAGCAACCAAAAGGACAATCAAGGGGAATAGGAGCAAAAACACAGCTAGGTTATAAAGCAATTTAGAGAACTAAAAACAGGAACATGTCTGCACTGGTTTTTGCCAGGATGTTTAAAGTCACTTAGAGAGGTCAAGGTCGAGAGATTCAGGTCTTTCATGGCTCATGGCCTTTCCCTTTTTCTATCTAAAAAAGTATTCTGAAAAGGATAAGAGGCCGCGCTCCAGTAGCAGTAGCAACGTGCACTCCGCCCATCTTTCAGACGACCATACGGACATAATCTCACTGTATCTCAGTACAATGATAATAAAGCTTATTTTTATTCTAATTCTGATTCTGAATAAGTGTTTGCACTGCATTTTTGCAGAAAATGCAATTTCTCTAGTTATTTTATATTTTTAGCTATTTGTGTCTTTGTTTTATGGTTTTGTTCAGCACTTGTATGCCAGTCTTTGTTGCTGCTATTTTGTGGGTCAAACGTGGAAAGGTTTGTGAATCACTGATTTATAGCACTCTGGTTTCATGCAAAAATGTTTCCTGTTTTAATGTCAAAATATTAGGTCATTTCAAGTTTAAAATAATCCTAATAACAAGTAATAAATTGTGTGTTTTATACTAAAAGAACTGTGCAGATGTGTCATGGCTCAATATTTCTGCCTTAGAGTTCAAGTTCAAGCTTGAGTCAAAGTTTCATTCAAAACAAACCTGAGAAATCTGTTCTGTCAAATACGTAGTGAAGCTTCCTTTTCAACACTGTAGATTAGACTGACTGATTGATTGATCAGTGGATAAATTCAGTCAGTAGTTGCCTTAAAACACATCAGCATCCTGAACATTTTAAATGACTTTAAAAAAATGTCTCAATGTCTTTTTGTCATTGCACTTCCTGCATCAAGTGCTTCTTTTCAGCGCAGAATCATTAATTCAAACTTTATTTATACAGGTTAGTCTCATTGAGCCTCAGAAACTAATTTACAAGAGAGACCTGTAAGAAGAGAACCAGAAGATTAAGAAAGAAAATGACCATAAATTTACGGCTAGTTTTATGCTTTACTTTTTATTTTTAGTATTAGTGTTATATAAGCATCGCAGGTCTGAGCAGCCGCCTGTTCAAGAGAACAAAAATGTTGATTTTACTCATGTAAAACCAAAGTGTTTTTAATCTGTTGTGCCACTCAGATATCACTGTAAGTAAATGCCTGTGTTACAGTACACTGTAATATCCTGATGCATGCTCAATAATCCAGGTAGAAAAATCCAAAAAAGTTCAATCTGGTCCTCTGGACATTCAAAAAAACCAAAAAACAAAACAAAGCAAAAAAATCTAGAAACGTTTCGTCTCTCATCCAAGAGACTTCCTCAGTCTGAGGTGCTGTTTTCAGCTCAGTCTCTTAAATAGCACCTTCACAGAGTGGATCAACCAGTTTGCTGGTT